TCAGAGGCGGAGGGAGCGGCCGCTGGCGAAGCCGCCCGTGTCGGAGGCGAGGTCGAACTCCCCCTCGTAGCGGGCCTGCTGGCCCTAGTAGGCCTCGGCGCCTTGGATGCCGCCCCCGAGCACCGTGTCGCAGCAATGCGTGTGCGGCCTCGGAGCCATCGCACCGCGTCCGCGTGGTCCTCGAAGTGATTGACAAGCTCCGCGTCGATGTCCGCGGGGTGTACCTGCCCGGCGAGCTCCGCGGACCATTCGGCATAGCGGCATCGAGCCCTGGCACGGTCACGGAACGCTCGACTGCAGTAGTCCCTGGCCATGGTCGCGCGAGCCTGCAGGATACCCCCATGAGAGCATGACTCTGCTGCCAGTTCGACCAGCCGCTCAAACTGGGGCTCCGCCAGCCGAAGCAGTACATAGGGCACGCACCATTCCATCCAAGACAGGGCGGCCATGTCCTCTTCGTGGTTGAAAGGCTCAGGTACCATCCAGGTGGCCGCCAACCTGCGCAGGAGCAGGAGAAGCCGAGCCTCGTGATGCAAGTCCTCGGGCCTCGAAGGCTCCGCCACCATCTTGAACAGGTCGTCCTCTTCTGTGGAGAGGTGCTGGTCGTAATTGCTGGCCGACGCATGGCAAACGCGTGGCGACTTGATGCCTGGGTGGCTGAGTCCAGGTCTTGAAGGCGAATCCGCAGCGTGGTTACATGAGCCCGAACACGACAACGGGATTTGCGCTCTAAACGCCTCGACGCTCCGCAAATCAGCAGCGTGTCGGGCCTGGCCCGACCGAGGGAGCCTAGGACTCGTCGCCCATGACCGTTCCTCGCCCCTTCGCTGCCAATTCGCGCCACGCCGTTTCCATCCGTGCAACCGTGGACGACTTGAACCAGGGCAGCCACCTCCTGGATTTGCTCTAACGCCAGGCGCTCTGACATCGCCCACGTGCGTTCTAACCCCAACTGGCTGACAGCAACCTCCATATCCACACGCCACGGACTGCCAGTTGACGCTGTCCTGCCCGTAGTGCTCCGTTGACAAGTCCATCGAGCTCTGCGTGTGACCTTGGATGCAGAAGATGTAATATGTGCTCCTCCCGTCGTCGTAGAAGCAGTTGGTGCCACCTGCGTTCCACTCGTGGCAAGTGACCCCATTGTTTTAGCACCCGCCGCCGTGGTGGAAACCGACCCTCTCGTGGAAATCCTCGCTGCAGACGCCGTTGTCACTGATGTCGCTGCTGTTATCGCCGCTCAGTACGTCGTACTCTGCACTGAAGTCATCGTCGTTGGAAGCCAGACTCTCGTCATAGCTCCCCTGTCTGACCAATCATCTGGTTCAAAATTGCAGTGACCTGCCCCGTCATGCCACTGTCGCTGCTGAAATGCACCACTGCGCGCAGAACGTGCACTCGACGGAGTCACACCAAAACCTGCTTGCGGCGGAACATCTGGACTGGTACGGTGGTGGTTTGCCGCGGTCTGTCTCCTGCTGCTACCCACGCTGCGGTGTCTTCTGCGTTGCCTCGAGCTTAGCTCTGGCCTCGTCAACCACCGAAGGGGGGACTGGTCTGCCTCCTGGGCTGGGGGAAGCGGCAGGATGCACGGGCGGAGGCGCAGTGGGCGGGGTTTTGGCCGCCGCTGTTGCCTGGCCAGACGTCTGAGCCTTGGCGGCTGCGTTGGGCAAGGGCGCCTTGGGCTCGGCTGGGTGGGCGGCGCCGTTGGTGGCGGCAACAGATGCCTTGCTGTCGGGCTCTGTGCGGCCCCGCTTGGCTTTGAGGCGAGCCAGCTGCTTGGCCTGTTCCTCTTTGATGAGCGCCGCCTTGGCATTGACCTCGCTGAAGCACGCCTTGGCTGCCTCTGTGAACTGTTTCTGCAACTCCTCTCTGCGCCTTCGGGCCTCGGCTCTCTCCTCGGGGGAGATGACATCGTCCAATTCTTCCAGTCCGAAGAGCCCACCGTCATCGAGCTGCACCTCCTGTCTGTCCAACAGAGCGTTGAAGTCGATGACTGCCTGTCGGGGCTTGCTGTCTGACTGCTGCTGCTCCGATTCCACCGAGACCGTGCTGGCGAGCCGCTTGACTGCAGCCTGGTAGAAGCCTCTCGCGACATCAACCTCCGTGGATGCAGTAGCCACGTCGGCCTGGAGCTCATTGTATTGCTTCTCGACGCGTTCGAACCTCTCCTGGGTGCGCTTGAGGTTCGCCTCCGTCTGCTTGACCTTCTGCAGTGCCTGGCCGACTGAGCTGGGCTTCGCACTTTGCAGCTCCTTCTTCATCTCCTGATTTGGCCAGCAAGTCTGTGATGGCCATCAGACGCTGCTCCTCCGTGGGTTCGTCATACTCGTCAACTCCGTCGTGTAGCCCAGGTGCCGATCCGTCCGAGAAGGTGACTGATGGAGCTCGCCTCCGTGGTGCAGGCGCTGTGTGCCAGGGCCTTCATCCTGCACTGTCAGGCGCAGGAGAGCGAGCCCGAAGAGGCTCGCGGCTGCGCTCACGCCGCGCGGCCGTCTTCCTGGCCGGCACCGTGGGACGAAGAGGCGCTCGGCATTGCTTGCACCACTTCCACCAAGATAGGTTCTTGGCGCATCCGCAGGAGCTGCACTTCTGGAATGGATTGCTCTCACCGTCATCTGCACCCATATGACGCTGAGCAGAATGGTGTTCGTCAAGCACTCGGCCTGCTGATGCCACTCGTAGAAGCACCAGCGCCGCTGTGCGCTGTTGCCTGGCACGGCGGTGCCAGGCCCCTTCGCCCTCACGGGGCGTGGTCCCAGCTGGCTGCGGGCGGCAGGCGCCGCAGACGCGGCCGTCGGCCGCGAGGGGTGCAGGGAGGCACCGAAGGCCCCCCTCGCGGCAATGGCGGCACGCGTGGGCCCCGCGCGCGCTGGCTGGCCTCCCTGGGAGGCGGGCCCGCTCGAGCGCGTGGTGCCTCTCCTCCCCCTCCTCCTCCTCCTCCTCCTCCTCCTCCTCCTCCTCCTCCTCCTCCTCCTCCTCCTCCTCCTCCTCCTCCTCCTCCTCCTCCTCCTCCCCCTCCCCCCCCTCCCCTCCCCCTCCTCCTCCTCCTCCTCCTCCTCCTCCTCCTCCTCCTCCTCCTCCTCCTCCTCCTCAGTCTAGGCCTCTTAGATGGTGTCCAAATGCATGGGTTCGGAGGATCGCGCCGCATCGCCGATGCATCGCCAGTGCGGCTCGATGTTGGGCCCGATCTGCTTCACGTTGACGTCACCGATTCATCGCCCATGCCGACGATGGATGCATCGCCGGTGCATCGCCGATGCATCGCCGCGGCGCGATCCTCCGACCCCATCTAATCCGACCTCATCTAGGAGGCCTCGACGAATGTCATGCCCAGGCTGGTTGCGTGAGACTCGGCACCTAACCAAAAACACATGACTGCCCATATTGGACATGAAGTGGCAACTCTCTGTTGCTGTCGTGTTACTGCTGGGCCACGTCTACATCGCAGGGGGGTGCTGTGAAGGAACATGCCACTCTTTGACAAACACTTGCCCCGATGTGTGGCCGCCGCGATCGCCGCGGCGACCTCCGAAACCGACTTAAAGGGTTGGTTCAAGATCGGATATCACGCAACGACAAATATCTCCAACATAACGTTCTGACAAACATCAAGACGGCTGCTTTTCGTCATTTCCGGCCTCCAGGGGCCCTCGCTGAGCCCCAGGACCGTCAACAACGACTCGGGATGAAAAGCCGGCGCTGGAGAGCGGGTCGGGACTTCGGGGGGCCGCGCACTGGAACAAGCAATGGGGGTGGGCTGTCTGGGAGCGAACAACGGCGCGACCTTTCCGGCCACGGCCAGCCTCGGTCACGAGGAGGCTCCCCGACCTGGAGGTCCGAGGAGCGGCCCGAATGAACAGGACCCCCCCCCTTCTGAACAGCGAGCGGTGCTCTTGATCTCGGCGCCCTGACTGCTCAATGCATGCGACACAGTGCGAGGATAACATCGGGTGAGGATACATCGGATACATGCATGCAAGACGAGGGCAGGGCGAGGATACATCGGGTGAGGATAACATCGGGTGAGGATAACACAGTGCATGCAAGACGAGGGCAGGGCGAGGATAACATCGGGTGAGGATACATCGAGAACCTCTGACATGCGGTCGGTCCCGGGGAGGGGGTGGGGGGGGGGGGCGGGTCAGATTCGCATCGCCTCTGGGAATCCTCTCCCACGCCAGTCCTCCTCCAGTCCTCCTCTGGTCCTCCTCCCCAGGTGGATGGGGAGTCCCAGAGGAGGGGGGGGGACAGATATGCATCCGTCCCTGGGGGTCCTCCTCCCCTTCCCATCCCCTCTCCCGCGCCGGTCCTCCTCCGGTCCTTCTCCCCAGGGGGGGGGGTCCCAGGAAGGGGGGGTCCTCCTCCTCCTCCTCCTCCTCCTTCTCCTCCTCCTCCTCCTCCTCCTCCTCTTCCTTATCTCACTGCCTCCTCCTCCTCTTCCTTATCACTGCCTCCTCCTTCTCCTGATCACTGCCTCCTCCTCCTCCTCCTCCACCTCCTCCTCCTCCTCCTCCTCCTCCTCCTCCTCCTCCTCCCCCTCCTGGTCGTCGTCGATGTGTTTCAGGGTCGGTGCACCGGCCGTCAGGCCTTCACAATCTCTGGAATGCCGCGGCTCTGGAGGATGTCTCGGGCGCCGCGGCTTTCTCAGAGCGTTCCGTAACGCTCTGAGAGCGCTCCAGAACGCTCTGGAACGGATGCATCCTCGTCCCAGCACCGTCCGAACACCGCCTGGGGAGGGGCCTTTTCCACATTGCCTGCCTGCTGGGGGCCCCAGGGCATCATTTCCCCACGCGGCGGATGTGCATCAACTCGGGCCTGGATCTAACGCTGCGCGTTCTTGTCGGTGGGAATTTGCACTTTTCATAGCGAGACGGAAAAAAGAAACGAGGCGGTTAAATGAAAAGCGAATGACGACGTGCAACAACAACTAAAAACGAAACGAAGAAATAACGAAGGCCCAACAACCAGGCTAAACAACGTTGTGGTAGGTCTTGGGCCATATCACAAACTCCTCCAAAGCATGAACAACGTCTTCAAGCGCAAACACAAAAGCAGGGCAACGTTCCAATTCGCCCAGGATGGTGCCACGGGAGCCAGATAGAGACTGCGTTGCACAGCTAACTCTAAGCTGCACACGTCAGCAACTTGCACCTCGAAGTACAAAAACAACGATCAGCCTATGTCAGCCTCCTTGTGCATCACTTGGCCCCACTTGCGCAGCCCCACAAAAGAAGTCCTCCTGGCCAACGTGCAAGAAGCAAGATATTCAATACTCTGAAAGTAATGACGCACACGCTCGAATAGAATTACGCCCCAACTCATCGAGGTCGTGAGGTGTGATCAGTCGGCCTTTGCCACGCACCGCTGCATAACTGGCTTCCAGCGTATGGGAATGCTTAACGCCCAGATCTTTCCATACAGCGCATCGAGCTGATCCGCGCTTACCCTTGTCGTAGCTGAAAACACACTGTGCCCGATCAAAGGTACCATCGCTTGTGCCTGCGAGCAGATCTGGCAACGTTTGACTATTGGGGTTGCTGAGCGTGAAAGCACCATGCCTGCGTGAGTGGGCATGAAAGTCGAGAAATGCAAGAACGCCACTTTGCGATGCGCAAAGGCCAGAAACAACCTGACGCACAGCCACGATTTCCGAACCAACTGGAGGTTTTGACCAACACCGGTTCAAGTCATACCCAGCAGAATTAGCACGACCGTTTCCAGCAGCAACGCCATCAGGATTGAGCATCGGCATGATCACAAACTTGAGAAGACGTCGCAAAGCACACGCCTCGTCAGCGTCAGAAAGCAATAACTTCAAAACACCGCGCATTATGAAGGATGCTGGACTCTCACCCGGATGCACTCGTGCTGAAATGATAACGTATGGCCGCGTGTCGTGAGTGCCCGAAGTGGAGCATGCTTCAAAATCGTTGATCGTGAGCATCAGTAGTGGGCGACCGCCAGGGGTAGGGCCCAGATCCTGCACGCTGAGCCAGTCCCCGCTGGGGCGTAGTCTTCGCAAGTCGCAGAGTAAGTCGCCGAACAAGTAGGGATAGAAATGGGCCACTCGAGTGCGTCCAGGCTTCAGCTGCAGAGCAAAGGACAGGGTGTAGTTCCCACGCCTGTCTCCAACGATGTACCTGTTCGGCATGTAGGCGTAGTCCTCTCCGTCTCTTCGCCAACAAGACTCGCCAGGAGACTGGGTGACAACTCGCTGGCCTTGCCCGAATGTGGATCCAGGCTTCACAAGACTTACGATGTGCATTCGCAAGCTCATAAGCTCGCTGACAACCACGTCGAAGAAGAAAGCTTGGCAATGATAAGCGCGATTCGTGTCGCCACACAAAAGGATTTCGACCACTCCAGGGGCCTCAAGTCTCACTCGTCGCAAATTCCCTCCTTCGAACTTCGAAGAAAATTGCAACCCGTGACTTCCGAGACCAGGATACAGCACTGGCCAATGTTCAACAGCTTCTGCATCGATGCTAATACTCTTCAAAAACTCGCTGACTGGCGACTGCAACTGACAAAACTGGCCATCTTGTCCCACAGGGCAGTCTTCACCAAACACAGAGTCATGATCGCCTCCATCTACCAACGATGCAACGCTGCATTTGCGACTGCCTGGGATTTCAAGTCCAACACCTGGACTTACGGTCCCAGGATTACAAGTGCCATGAGTAATCGAATTTGAATCGAGAGGCTCGCCCGCCTCGTCCTCTCCGATTTCTGAAGCTTCAGACTCCGAGTCTTCACTTTCGTTAGCAGCGTTCCCACGATCACACGCAGGCACTCGGATCGGAGGCAGGACTCGACAGAGCAGTGCCATGAGGTCCCCGACGCCCCTGCCGTCCTTCGTCAGCAGGCCCTTCAGCAGCTGCCTCAGAGAGTCGGCATCTACAGCGCCTTCCAGCCCAAGCATGAGGCCCTGCACACCACACCGCATGGCTGCACGAAGTCTGGCAGGCAGCGGCTCTCGTCTCTGCCCCCTGTCGAGGCACAACACCTGGCACCGGCACGCGCTGAGCATCAGCAGCGCGCGCTGGCGCCTTTCGCCAGCGTCCTTGGCCGCCAAGAGAAACACCTCGGTGGCCTTGCGCACGATGTCCCTGGCCTGGCTGGGCGCCGCAGAGGATGCCGCTTCCAACAGACATCGCGCAACGCCGTCATCTGAGCTCTGGGCGCAGAGCCTTGCAGCAACTTCTCCGATCACGCCATTGGCCGATGCTCTCTGCCGCTTTGCGCTGACGGCTGGTCGTGCATCAAGCCGGCCGCCTCCCCGCACACGCGTTCCCTGCGCATCCAAGTAGCGCACAGAAGACTCGTCTGCCCCTCCATTCTCTTCTACAAACACTGTGAGCGAGTGCACGTTGTTGAACTTGACGGGCGTCAACTTGACTACTGAATCGAGGGATTCCCTCCTCTCGAAAGTTACAATTTGCGCCGGCTTCTGAGAAGAGGCGTCATCAAAGCCAAGGTTTTGAGAGTTTACAAACAGCTTGATCAAACCAGGCGCCTCTTCACCAGATGCACAAAGACGCAAGCTTGTCAAGTTCACGGGCTCTGTAAATTCCAGAGTGAGAAGCAACTGATGATCTGCGTCGCTGCGCAACTCTGCCTCATCGTCCAACAAGCAGTTCGCAAATGGATACTCGGAGGCCTCATTCAAGCAGACGGACGCCCTCGAATTGATGAAGGCGTGCAAACTTTCGCTTTGCTTCGCCATGGCAACACAACCCTACAATGGCGACCGAACATAATCCTCAACATGGCATGTACTACTCATGAATAGGAAAAGGATTTTGGGCCTAAGTGGCCATGGATGACCGCCACCGTGCCTCCAGCACGTAGTAGATGGCCCTGGGGGCTGTGGGTCCCAGCAACTCCCGTGCGCTCCTGGGGCGTGTCGCGCGGGTCTGCCGAAGCTGTCCCCGCCCAATACTGCCCTCGCAGCCTACAAAAAGACACAGTACAATGGGGGCCCGACCATAAGACATCTTCCACCAAAAAAAACAACCCTGAGACACCAGGACGTCCATGGATTTTTGGTGTGGGAACGTCACTCCTTCCGCAGCGAAGCCATCGAAACCCAAGAAACCCGGGGCACCCTGGAAGCAAGCAAGGCGTTTCTTCTTGGCATGGTCTCACAATGTAGGCCTTGGAGAGGTTTCAAGAAGCCCGAGGGGACCCCAGGAGGCCCGCAAGAGCCTCCAAGAAAGCCTCCAACACGCTCCAAGGGAAGCCCCGAACAGCCAAGAGACAACAAAGCACACATGCTGAATGCTGTCTCGCTTGTTCGGCCTGGCTGCCCAGCATGTTTTCAAGATGGCTTCAGAGAGCTCCAGGCCTGGCCTAGAGGACCTCAATGACCACTCGACATGGCCCCAAGTGGCCCAAGAAGCCCCAAGAACGGCTTCAGACAGCCACTGGGGGAACCCAAGGCAGCCCAAGAGGGCTCCAACACGGCCCACAACGACGCCAAGATAGCCCCAAAGAGCCTCCGTAAGGCTCCCAGACGTTCCGAGGCGGATCGAGAGGACCCAAGCAACTTCCCCAAAGCTCCCAACAGACCCCTTAATAAGGCCTTCCAGATCCCAAGACGATCCCCTGGAGAGCCCAATCGGCCTCTACTAGCCCTCTGGCCCACGAACCAAGCACGGTGGCGGATGGACCGAAGTCCACTCGATCCGCCGCCCCCCGGTGGCTTGCCACAGGTGCGCCTGACGTGCTGGAACGCTCTTGGTTCTGGTTTTGTTCCAAAGAACTCCCCCTGGGGCTTCGGTCCAGACGTCCACAATCAAATCTCCAAGACGGTCAAGATGGCCTCACGTTTGCTCAAGATGGCCTCCAAGATGGCCCAATATGGTCCAATTTGCGTTCAAGTTTGCCGAAGGAGCCATCAAGACGGCTCAAGACGGCGCCAAGATGACTCCGAGTCCGCCCGAGAAGCCTCCAAGATGGCCCAAGACGGCCCACGAGGCTCCCAATACGCCGCCAAGACGTCCTCCAGGAGGGCCCGACGAAGCCAAGATCATGTGTTCCTTAGGTTTTTGGAGGATTGTGGCAGTTGCTTCTTTTCGGCCTTCCGAGAACCCAAGAAGGCCCAAGAGGCCATCTTGGGCTGTCTTAGGGCTCTCCTCGGGCCATCCTGGGGCCCGGCTGGGCCGTCTTGGGGCTTTCTTGGACAGCCCCGAACCCCGTTTGGATAGTTTGGGGGCTCTTGTCTGGCCTCCTGTGCGGTCTCGGACGCCAAGAAGACCGAAGAGCAGAGCACTCCCAAAATCAAACAGAAACCACTGGACATCAATGTTTTTTGCGCTTCCTCTTGGAAGTCTGCTTTGGGTCGTCTTCGGGCGTATGGTGGGTGTCTGGGGCCTCTTGGTGCTCTCGCGAGACCGTTCGGTTGCCCTCGTGACCGATGTGGGCCCGTTGCCTAGGCCCAGCAGGGGCTTCCAGGAGCCCGGGAAAGCCTGAGGGCCAGGTCCACGGATCTGGATGATCCCGTTTTGGAGGGGGGGCGGGTTGTAAAAAATATCTGCCACTGTGCCCCCTGGCACGTTGAGGCGTGGCAGAATGCCAAGATCTGTCTGGTAGGGACTTCTGGATTCTAAGAAGGGACCGCCCCCCCTCTACTAGCAGACTCTTGCGTGCACTGCTCCTTCTTTCCGAGGCCACTTCCCTCGTGCGCGCTAGAAGATGGCGCACTTCCAGCATGGCAACTAATGCCCAATTTCCCATGTCACGCGTGCCCATTCGAGGATGGTGCACTTCCCTCATGGCACCTGATGCCTGAGCCTGCATTCCATGCACGCCCGCTCGAGGATGATGCACTTCCCGCATGGCAGCTAATGCCTGAGCCATCACTCCCCGCGTGCCCGCTCGAGGATGGTGCACTTCCCGCATTGCAACTAATGCCTGAGCCCTTATTCCATGCGCGCCCGCTCGAAGATTGCGCACTTCCCGCATGTCTCCTACCTCCTAGACCCCTTATCCCACGCGCACCCGCTCGAGGACTGTGCACTTCTCGCATTCCCAGGCGCTGCTCCCAGGCGCTCCAGGGCCTCCCAAGCCACGATCCCTGGTTAAAAAACCTTGGACATGCGTCCCGAGCTTCCAAGACTGCCCGTGCAGGCAACTGAGAACACCGAGATGGCGCAAGATGCACGTGGAGGGGCGGACCTGGCCCAGGCGAGGAAGCACCGACCTGCAATCGGCGATACATCGCCGATAGATCGGCGATGGGCCCGCGATGGCGAAACAGCACGTTCCTGTCGGGGGCGCGCAAACATGGATCGTTGGAGGTGCCCTCCCCAAATGCGGCTGGTGCCGCCTTCTTCGGCGGCGGGAATCTGCGATTTCCCATGGAAGCGGGACCCGCCGCGAAGCCACGCCCCCTCCATCCGTGCTTGCGACCGCCTGATCCTTGGGCGGGATGGGCCCTCGGGCCCCTCTCTGGGCGATCGGTAGGCGGTTGGGGTTCGATGCGTCCCTCCCTGAGCCTGCGCGGGCTCCGGAAACCCTGGATCCCGAAAACGGTGTCATCCCCTGGGAGGCCGACTGCTACCTTCAGGTCGGGCACGTCCTCCTACTGGCGGGTTTTGGAAGAAAGATGGAAAATAGTAGACAAGATACAAAGACATTCCAAAACGAACAGAAAAATCGTCCCCAGACTATTTTTGACTGCTTTTGAAAATTTCTCCTGAAGAGGGACATGCCCGACTTAATTTTACTTCCGCCGGCTTCACCCAGCGAAGCGGCCTCGATTTACTTCCGCAGACTTCCTCAGCCCTTCCGCCGCCTTCCGCCGAGTGAAAAGATGGCCACTCCAGCGATCCTCGAAGGCGAGGCGCTTTCTGGATCTTCGAGAGGGGCTGGCCATCGAGAGGGGTTGAGGACGGACCGAAGAGGCAGGGATGTGAGGGTACCACTGGGAAGGCTGCCCATCCTTACCATCGGTTTCGACTGTACCCCCCTCTGCGTGGCCGATCCTGTGTGGGGCGGGCGGACCCAGCTGGCTTCGTGCTCGATGAACGTGGTGACGTTGAGGCCTCGGAGCGGCCGCACGCGCGGCCGGAGGTTGGAGGCCTGGAAATGGGCACCAACACCAACACAGGGGGGTGCCTCCACAGGGGGAAGATGATCCCAGGTTCCGGTGTTGGTGGCAACATTTCGGTCACCTCGGAAGCCAGAATCTCACCACCATCACCGAGATCGGGATCTTCCTCCCTCGGTGGAGGCACACCGCCGACGTTGGTGCTGGTGCCAACCTCTAGGCCGGAGGCCTCCGCCGAGGGGGCCCGAGCAGGCGGGGGTCGGAGGACCGCGCCTCCTTGAGCTCAGTGGCTCGGGACGCGGCGCGCCGTCCCCACTGGGAAGGCCGTGGCCCCGCTGACTGACCTGCTCCCCCATGGGAGTCAGGTCGGGCCTGTCCCTCTGCAGGAGGAGTACTCGAAAACAGTAACCACAACAGTCTGGGGACGATGTTCTGAACACTTTTGACCATTTTCGATTATTTTCTGACGATTTGTTATTTTTCCTCCAAGATCCGTCTGTGGGGGGGGACAGGCTCGACTTCACCCTGGAGGCGGGGATGGGTGCCGTCTCTCCGCACGGCTTTTCGCGGCGCGGCATCCAGCCCCACCTCAGGGGGTGGGCTCGTCAGGTGGCGACATCCGAACCCTACGGTGGAGGCCAGTCCACAAGAAGCCTTCCACAAGAAACCCAACCCTGAGACCCCGCGACGTCCATCGATTTCTGGTTCGGGAAGGCCACATTTTCCGCAGCAAAACGGCCGAAATCCAGGAAACCCAGGGCACCCTGGAGGCAAGCAGGGTGTTTCTTGGCCATGGGCCCCCACTATGCCCCCACCAGCCATCGGCTCTCCTGCATCGATGGGAGGCGGGGGGCTGGGTTCGGATTTCGCCACGTGCTCGACGAGTTGCGAATCGTACCCCCGCCGCACATCGAGATGCCTGAAACGTAGGTCGGCGAGTGTAGGGTGCGGATTTCGCCGCCGCGCCCCGTCGCCCCCGCATCGGCGGTGCATCCGGCGGTTCATCTTGGCGGCGCGTTTGGGTGCGAAGTTTGGGAGTTTCGGTTTCGAGGTTCGGGTTCGAGGCTCCAGGTTTCGGAGCTTCGGATTCGAGGTTCCGAGTTTTCGGCTTCGAGGAAGTTGGGAGTTTGGGAGTTTCGGGTTCAAGGGTTCCAGGTTTTCGGGCGTTTCTATTGGCTCTTGGCAGTTTCCCAGCCTTGGGATGCGTTTCATGGGCTGCGCCTCGCCGAAAGTGTTCTGGGGGTGCCAGGATCATCCCGAACGGCCGCTGGAGACACGAGTTAGGCCCCGAAGAGCAGACGACGAGGATCCTCGAGGGAGCAAGCCTTCACAGAAGGCGGCGGAGCTTCTCGGAAGCCCTCTGGCCTTCTCACGAGCCCTCCGTGTCTTCCGAGCAGGCTTAGGAAGATACGCTGGAGGCCAGTCCACAAGAAACCTTCCACAAGAGACCCAACCCTGAGACCCCAGAACGTCCATCGATTTTTGGTGTGGTAACGTCACGCTTTCCGTAGCGAAACCATCGAAACCCGAGAAACCCAGGGCACCCTGGAGGCAAGCAAAGTGTTTCTTGGCATGCGCCCCCACTGCAGGAAGCTACCCAAAGGCTGGAGGACTCCGGAGCCTTCTGTGAAGGCCCGCCCCCTCCCGATTCCCCCCCGGGGCGCGCCGCCGATCATCGGCGCGGAGCAGATCGGGCTCCACATCGAAGGGCGACGCGATCCGTATACGTGTCCACTGCCCGTGGCCCGCTTCTGGGC